GATGTAATATATTAAGTATACATTTTTAACGAAAAAAAAAAAAAATTAAAAGTAACACTGAACTATTTGATAGTAACTGTTGATCAATTTAATTTAGTTTTCTAATTCAATTGTTTACCTAAAGACTAAAAATATCTACAATATTTGTATTGATTAATTTTAATTTTAACTATGAAAAACGGAATGTTTGAAATGAAATTATTCGTTTATTCTAATGCACTTTTTTTCGAACAACGAATAATTGTATTATTATTCTATGCATTATGTTGTATATAATATATTTACTGCGTTTATAAGCAACCGTTAGTGCGTATATCCTACATTCTATAAATTTACCTCAGCATTGTTTTTGTTATCAATTAATTAAGTCATCAAAATTTCATTTTTGAATAAATGTGCATTATCTCTTATTATAACAATGGAAACAGATTTCGAATTAATACGATTACAATAAAACTATAGGTAGACTTCCTGTCCAGACCGTTTCATGACAAAAAGATCATAAGTCAGACCTAATTCGCGTTGTCTACGTCTAACAAAAAAATCTCCAGAATACCGAAAAATACGAATCATTATACCGAGCACTCTTGTCGCTTCTTAGCTATATTAATTGTATCTACAGTTCTTGATTTTAACAACGTGGGTATACAAACAAGGTATGTACTTGTACATTTTTATAAATAACATTTTAAATTGTATAATCTGTTACTTTCTGTTCTTAATTTATTTACTGTACCGAAATGTATATCGCTCAGCTATAAATAATGAAAGCCATAACAAAAATGTTTCAGCTGTAATTTGTTGTCCGGTTTTTTACAATGTTAACGGTAATAACGGGTTTTTCAATTTATTTCCTTAAATAATAAATAATAACATTTTGTCGAAATTTCCTATCTTAATCATCAGAGACCATTATTTTTTGTTTTGTCACCCCTTCCCCATAATTACGATAAATGGGTAACTATGTCAGTACGTTTTTTTTAAAAACAAATTTTCTATTTAAAATGTAAAAATGAATAACAAAATATTATATACGATATTAGAACTATTGAAAAAATACTTTAACTATTCATTTATAATAATGTTTGGATACAACAGGTAAGAATATTTTAATTGGCTTGATTTTAAACAACTATACTTGCGGTGTCAAACCTGGCCGTTCGACAACTGCTAACTGCGCTCTAGCTGAATCACTCAATGCAAACAGATGTAATAATTCTCTGTGTAATTTTACTAAATTTATGGCTTTTTCCAAACAGACGACAGCTTCATTTAATTTACCGCTGAAATATAAAACATTCGTATTACAAACATACTATATTCACATTTCAATAGGATTTATATTTAAATTTTCTCAATTTACACAATTTTATGTTAAATACATGTGTAATAAATATAATATGTTTAAGACTTTATAGCAATAATAATATCTCACGTTTGCATGTACAGTGCTGCTAGAGTTTCGTAAGGAAAATCACATTTAGGGTCAATTTTAAGCGCCTAATCTAGAAAACTGAACGCATCCTCAAGCGAGTTTTTCCATTTAATAGCGATCGATGCTGTGAATATTAATATCCATTCATTAATAACTGCGATGTAACACACTATGTGTATATATTATTATAATTATTTCATATTTTATTTAAGCGAATGCCTCTGTAAACTAGGAAAGTAACGTTTTCGGGATGGTTTTCATGTACTTTCTTTAACGAGGAATCTGCCTCTTTAAATGCCCCTTTACGAATTAATGCCTACATTACAAAATAACAGCTAATACTAGATATTTTATTGGTTATTAAAAATTAATTCTATATAATTACTAGAGCATAAAGATCATAACTGTCAGCGTTATCTGGATGTTTAATTACAAATTCTTTTAATTTTCTCAGGTATTTTTCAACATCCATCTCGTTAGACATTTGTTTTGCGTGCAAGTATTGAGCATAACACCATAGAACACTTGAAGAGTGAAAGTGTCAAACGTTCCAAGTGCCAAAGTATAAAAATTGTACTTTATAATTTGATTTGTATTTTATTCATTACCGGAAACAATTTTGTAAAATTTTCAAGTAAAGAATAGTTATTTATAAAAAAAAAAATTCTAATAGTTTTAGTTCTACGAATAATTGAAATATTATTTGATATCCGAAACTATCCGGATAGTTTCGGATATCCGGATAGTTGATCAATTATCCGGATATCCGAAATTATCCGGATTTCGGATATCCGTATCCGAATTATCCAGATATCAAATAATCCGGATATCCGCAAAATCCGAATATTAGTCCCAACCCTAATACCTACTATAATAGTAGTTTTGCTACCACTATTATCTCTACGTCTACTACTCCTGCTACCGTGCTACCGTACCGTACTGCATTTCGCTGACGCTAATCCTAAGTGATTGAGTACCGTCCACAGAAAAAAAGATTAATTAATTAAGAAAAATTAATTTAATAAAATTAATTAATTAAAAAAATATTTAATTGTTCAAATTATTATAGTTCACGAGTGTTTTTTTTATACGTTTAATTTCAATTATGTTTATTACTATGTGTATATATTTAACATAACATTATTAAAATAACATGGTAAATAACATTTTTATGTTTTAGGAGTGCAGTTTAATTAAACCGAAGCTGTTCAACTACAATTGATGAATACTATTTGGAAATAATAATTTGTACGATAATAGGAATCTTATGGTATATTTGTTTCAATAAGCCCCTTAGAAATTTACAAACTAAGAGTAATGAGTATTGGTTAGTAAACTTGAACACGTCAGTTCCAGAAAAAAACGAACTATTACAACCTTTGACTGAAGTTAATAAAGCCTAAACGGCTTTATTTTTTTTTTATAAATTACGATTGTTGTTTGCAAATGTTTAATATGCAAACAACAATCGTAATTTATAAAAAAAAAAGACATTTAAGTCTACTTTATTAGTTATTATGTGTATATTTTGAAGATATTATTTTTTTAAATATGTCTTATGTGAAAATGTATAAATTTTTTTAAAATTAAATATGACATTTGTCTAGTTAATTGAGTTGGGTTTTATAAAATATTAGAGAAGCCGGGTTAGTGCAATTTTTTTTTTTAATGTCATACAAAGGTCTAAACCACATGTTTAATGTTTTAAACATTATAAGACATTTTGTTTTATTAAAATTATGTATAAAACGTCTTTAACTAAGTATTTTAAAAATGCCACCTCTGGGAGTAGATTTTAGTTCACACTATTTTTATTGTACTACACGATGCGAAGTGTAAAGCATTAATTGTATCATAATATTTTAATGCTCAATAATGGTAATTCACGACAAGAATGCTTTGCATTTTGTAAGTTTTCCCTTAACATAATTGATATTTAGTAGTTTTACATTTTGAAATCATTTTTTGTTCATGCTATACTACAATATTTTCTAGAACTTTTGAAACCTAAACGGTAACGTTTAGATTTTATTAATTCTTTAAATTAAGAATAATTTGCTGAACATTTTCACTGGTCGATTACCAGTTTTGAATAAGTTTTAAAGTTATTTAAGTTTATTTTTTTAGGACAGCAGGAAGGGTTAAAACGTGTTGTGTTTTTATCTGCGCGTATTTTTCAACCAAACTCTACCTTCTGTCCTAAAATTTGAAATTTTAAAAAAATTATTTAAAAATGTTTATCGATCTTTGAATTGAACTATTATGTTTTATAGAATTTATTATATTAGGAATAAAAAATTTCAAAAATGTTATGAAACGCTAATCGACTTGTATGATATTAAAACATAGTTTTTGCACTTTTTGATTAAATACAAATTCAGGGATTGAAAACGTTGCCATACCAAAATAAAAACTACTCGTTATACCAGCTACAAAAACAGTTGATTAAAATGATTGATGGTATACTAGTCTGACTATTTAAATATATGAGGTATTCTGAGTCAAACCATGCGTTCATCGGCCTGACCTTCTAAAATTTTTTGAAATTTTCTTTTTAAACTTCTTTTGGTCTAATATAAGAACTTTTTTAATTTTTAAAATTTTTAACACTATTTTTTGCCCCCCAAAATAGAGGTTTTTTAAGTTATTTAAAAAAAAAATAGATTTCGACCTGTTTTAAATTTCTGAAATTTTTATCATAAAAAATATAATGTTTAATTATATTCAGTCAGAGACTTAAATTAAATCTTTTCGTCTAATAACGTCTAAGAAAATTGTTGTAGGTGGTCACCCATCCTGGATCAAGCAGGAACGGACACAACATAACTGCATGGCAGCTGAGGTGTCCACTGCGTCCACACTATGCCCCTGTATTACTTTTAATGTTATTCGTAAAGAACGTTTTTCACTTTTTAAAACTTTTAAAACTTTTTATTTCATATTTGCAATTATTAAGTTGTGTGAATAAGAATTTGTTAAAAGGGATCTAATCGACCAAATTACTTTTATAGTAAATAAAAGGAGGCTCAAAAGGAGTTTGGAAGAATATTTTCCTACTTGTTGTCTATGCATTTATGGAACACTGGACATAAGTTTCCAGTACCTCTAAAAAGATTATTAAATGAATACTTCGATTATGAACGTAACTCATATTTTAGCTTCGATGCAGAGCGGTGAAGGTATTGGTTTTACTCTGATGTGGGCTTTTTTTGTTATCTGTATACACTGTAACTTTTTTAATACTGAACCAATTCCTTCGACTAACAACTCTAAAAATCACAAATTTCATCTAGTTAGTACTTTTGTACTGTAGTTAAAACTGCAAATGATATCAGTTCAATATTTTTTTTGAACGAACTAAAAAAATTGATCGTTATTTTATCCTTGCTCATGAAACAATGGATATAAGTGGCACAGAACAAATTTAAATTATTTAAATTAAATGCGATAATTATTATAATACAAGCATACTGATATTAGGCTCTTGTGTAATAATTTAATGTTTCTTATCTTTTCTAGTAGAATACGCTATACCTACTATAATAGTAGTTTTGCTACCACTATTATCTCTAACTCTACTACTACTGCTACCGTACTGGACCACTGTACCGTACTGTATTTTGCTGACACTTTACCGTTTTTGTTTGTTTTGGTTTTCTTGAACTGCACCGTATGTTTGCTTTAAGTTCAAATATTCGACCGTTTCGATTTGTACAATCTTCGACACCTGCCGACCGACCTACCGCACTTGGACTTGTACCACTGTAAATATACCTATTTCATTTGCATGCTTGTATTATATACCATGTTAGTTGTTTAGTGATAAACCTATTAGTTGTAAGCTTTAGCGAGCTGGCCAGTGGGTAAGATCTTATTATATATAGTAATTTTTTTTCTTTGTCGAATACTAGTTTTCATATAATTTAATTTCCGTGTTGTATTTGTTAAAATTCTTCATATAGTCCCTCTTGAAAATACCGTACATTATTGGTCATATAAGTGATTGAGTACCGTCCACAGAAAAAAAAAATTAATTAATTAAAAAAATATTTAATTGTTCAAATTATTATAGTTCACGAGTGTTTTTTTTTTTTTTATATGTGTAATTTTAATTATGTTTATCTAAAAGTATAATTACCATACAGTAAGATAACGTTTCGTTGTAATCTTAGTAGTTTTATTATTTAACTACCGTCGACAAGTGCCGTTAAATTGGTCATGAAAATTGTTTATTATTATTGCCATACGTGTGTTTGTTGTATAATTGTGTTGTTATTGATAAATATTTTGCAGCCATCGTTTATCTTTCTATAGCCGTACAACACACCAAATTGTTGTCGGCCGCACAAAAGACACTGCATAAGTGATTAACATTTAACAGCGGTTAAACTGTGTCATTTACCAATAAATTATTGAAGGCCAGGTGGCTTTCAGGTGGGTGGTATGTTTGGGCTTTATCTGGACCGCTGCCACTCCCCACACCACCGCTTATGCTTGCGCACTCCGACCGTTTTGCTACTGCTATTATCTCTGCCTCTACTACTACTACTAAATATTCAAAATATTTTTTAAAAATGAAATGAAAAAAAAAAATTGTATTTTTAAACATCCTTTCAAAAGTTATATTCATTTGAAAATGAGGATGACTGTTGACTGTCTACTACACTCCACCTCCTGTCACCAGTCATCCTCTTGAAAAAAAAATGATTAAAAATAGTAAAACAGGTAAGTGCAATAAAAACCGTGGTGCTTATTGCGCAAATGAGTATAAAATATTTAAAAAAAGTATATCTCAAAAATATTCACTAGAACAAAAGTTATTTCATTAGTCAAATCAGTGTGGGTCACTCTGTATATATATATATATTTACAGGCAGTCACCTAGGGTCATAAAGTTCGTTCGATGATGTCCTAATTGAAGCATTTCGCCACTCGGTGGCCACCCTGTGTACGTATGTGTGGCCTGACACCAAAAAATCATGTTACATATCAATTCAACAAGATTTTTTCTCCTGATTTCAAGTTCTATTTTAAATAGTTTTTAAATTAAAAAAAAATGAATACCGTTTATTGAACCCATAGGGCATCCTAAATGTCTCATTTGAAACTCGGTAGAATTTTTTTACATTACACCCTGTATATAAAAATGAATGTCTGTTTGTCTGTCCTCTATGCAGTAGTACACCACTCATCCGATCGCCATGAAACTTTGGGAAGTTCCCACGAACCTAACTGGCATAGTACTTTTTGAAAATTCCCCCCCCCTAAGGGTGGCCTCAAACACGATCTTTGTACTTTAAATAAGAAATATTTTGTTTGTAACCGTAGTAACCACGGTACTCGAGCAAATGGTAGGTGATGATAAAGGAACAGGCCGGTTCTATGTACCACGATTCTGGGCAAAATTTGTCACAAGTGTCACATAAATATATTTGACCCAATGACTTTTATTGTAAATTATTTATCTTCTTATGTAAACACATCGTTTTGTGTTAAAAAGGCCCTTCGTCGTATAACATTGGCAATAAATCGTGTTGATTGTCGATTGTGGAACTGATATTAATACCTGCAAAACAAGTATGGAGGCGAAATATGACCAACCCGGTGCAATTGGAAGCGACAATAACACACAGCCACTCAAACCATGCTTAAAAGGAGATTGGAAGAATATTTCCCTACTGATGTTGATGTATGTACTTCAAGGAGTACCAATGGGGTTTACAGCGACTATACCAATGATTTTACAAAACCAAAAAAATATTGCTTATCAAGATCAGGTATAATCATGATTCACGTATAATAAACAATATTTTATTGCTTGTTATTGTAGACTTATTATATTAAAAAGAAGCTTTAGTTTTCTTCTTTTCAAAAATCTAAAAACACCTGAAAAGCAATGGGCAACTGATAAAAAAGTTAAATACCTATGCTATCGAGTACCAATATTCAATCCTTATTAATAAACCAATAAATATAAAATATCATTTTAGCTCTACTTTTTTCATCTCACTGCCCCCCTCCTTTAATTTCGAAATTTCAATTTTTGATTTTAAACAAACCTTACCCATGCTGTATACTACAACATAATATATAATGTACACCTGAAAACGTATGATGGGATTCGTAGATTTTATCTGACTTTCAATATCTAATATTACTTTTTCATTATTTAAGGCTATATTTAGTGCTGCAAGTTGGCCAAACAGTATGAAAATTCTGTGGGCACCGCTAGTCGATTCCTTTTATGTAACGAAAATTGGAAGAAGGAAATCATGGCTTTTGCCCGCTCAGTATTTGCTAGGTATTTTCTAGTAATGTTATAATTTTATTTTGTATACTTTTATTTATACTTAGTTCTTTTTAGGTACACTTTTTCTTTATTCAGGTGTCCATTTTGATAGCTGGATAGGAATTGAGGGTAAGCCTCAAGTGGCTATTATGACGTTTATTTTTTTTTGCATTTACTTCTTTACTGCTACCCAGAGTATAGCTGTTGATGGTTGGACTCTAACCATGCTGAGGAAGTAATGAGTATAAATGTGCCAGCTTCATGTTTATCAATCATGATTATAATGGTTTTTTTTAAAAATTATTTTAGAGAAAATGTAGGCTATGGGCCTATGTGTAAAAAAGTAGGTCTGACAATTGGGAAATTTTTAGGATATGAGTTTTCAATTCTTTTGGGTTCCGAAAGTTTCTGTAATAATCATTTGCGCAGTGTACCTGCCAAAGGAGGAATTATATCCACGCAAAGTAATTCTAATGAAATAATTCAAGTTTGGTCCAAATAACGTGCTTCCCGTTTTTGTTTTGCGGAATATTAAGCTATAACCAATCTAACATTTTTTTAACGATTGTAACACAACTTTTGAGGTTTCTATACACACAAATTCTCTGTGCGTTGTATTGATACTGTAAAATGAGCGTATTGGTTCTTAGTTATCGGACCAAACCATAATGTTTCATTTTGATATGAATGGGTAGAATTCAACCGCTATGCTATTACATGGTTATTGTTTATTATTGTTTTAAGGTTTTTTATATTTTTGGGGAGTCACTTTTATATTGATAACTTCACTTGTTGGCTTAATGAAGAAAGAAAACGAAGATCAATCGGCAGATTACACAGAAGACAAATTAAATGTATTTAAAACTTACTCCGTGCTGTGGTATATTATTAAAATTCGCGGTATTCGCATATTGATATTCGCTTTGATTACTTATAAGGTAAGGTATTTAATAACTTTTATTAAAGTAGCACAAAAAGCAATATGAATATTTATCTATTTGTTCAGATATTTTTAGATTATGTTTTTAGTTATTTTATTTTTCAATATTTTGATTTAATTTTAAAAGCCAGGATACTGGATACAGGAGACTGAGCATAATCGAGTCAGTGTGGTCGTAGATCTAAAGGAATTGTTATGACCAAGTGATAAAATCACTCTTAAAAGGGTTTCTCCATTTTCTTTATTGTCATTGATGGGTTATGAATTATATTACTCTGTATGTACCTATACAGGATGATTTGATTTAGGATTCCCTTTATTTTAATGATTTTTCGTTCAAAATTGAAAACGTAATGAACTATTAGTTTATCAACACAAAAACCTACCTTGTTATAATACACTTAAAACGAACATTGTAGTTTATATGCAAAAATTACATTTGTATAGATATATTACGAACAAATAATATATTCTAAGACAAATTTAATAAAGTGTTAATAATAATTACTTTTTACTAATGGTTAAACTGTATTTCTTCTATTAAAAAAGTGTTTATTATTGTATATTGCGTGCACATTTAGTGTAATTCCATAGGAATTTTTTTGTCAAAAACATTTTTATTTGTAAATTCTCGTCACGTTAATTAGTTTTTTTTTAACAGATTGCTTTTGCTGCGAATAATGTAACAAATTTAAAACTAATTGATGCCGGGGTATCTCAAGATAAATTAGTTATCGTTCAAACAGCTCTATATCCCTTTAGATTGTTACTGCCTATAATTTTGTCCAAATATACAACGGGCCCGAAACCGATGAGCACTCTGCTGAACGTACTTCCTTTTAGGTAAGAATGTAAGAGAAAATATTTATACATATTATATTATAAATTTCATTGAAAAATAGTTTGAGATAGATATAAAAGTGATAGTTGTAAAATTCATTATTCATGTATATTTACAATATATTGTCTTCCCACCTGGAAATTCATAAATGCAGTTAGATGGTAAAACAAATAAGAAAAGTGTGAATGTATTAAATATTATAGTACATGCTGATATGTTGAGTAAATTAAAAAATTATGAAGAATAGAAAATAGTGGTGAGATAAGAAATCTAGCCAAGTACTGTTTGACCTAATTCGTATAAGATAGAGTGAAGAGGAAGAAGAAAAGTTAGTTATACCGTAATTTATGTTTACATTTTAGGTATTTAGCATATTTAAATGCCATTGTTGCTAATAGAAAAATATATATTTAAATATAATTATTTTAGGTTACTTTGTGTATATTCATTAGGATTATTGGTTTATTATACACCATTATTTGTAGAAAAAGGTAACATTGACGCAAAAATACCATTTAAATATTTTGTTTTATATGGAATACCTATACTTTGTGACGAGGTAAGTATTTCTAAATGCTAAATATAACCTTATTACCTTTAACTTTGGTGCGATATCTGTTGGGTCGCAGGACTGATTTCTTTGATTGGCAATCCAAATATTGAACAAATACTACCACTCCTTTCACCTCTTTTATTACTTGTCTAAAACTATTTACCCAAGTCTTTAAATTTAATATATAGTCAATCGTATGAATAAAAGATTGGTCAACAAATTTTGAACGTAGTTATAAGTTGTATAGTTTGTAGTTGGCTATACCAAACAGAAATACCTAAGAGTAAAACTCGAATGTATTTGTGTAATTATTGTAACTTTTATACCACACCTTATTTGTTGTGCGGATTACAATCCCACAGACATTACTTGGGCTAATGATACCCTTGGTTTCATTTACCTAACCGCTTCGTCTTCTATAATCACTTGCGTCTAAGTTTTTACTTCCTCGAGAATACATACTTGCATGTTTTCATTGAATTGTTCTTATTTCAGAAATATTAAATGATTATATTGATGTTTAAGACGATATACTTCATGGATGTGGCTTTACCAACGTTTTTCTCGCGAATAAGTGATCCACGTTTTGGAGGAACGTATATGACTCTCTTATATACTGTTAAGAATTTGGGCGGTTCTTGGACTTCTACTGTATCACTAATTGCGATTGACTGGCTTACAGTGAAAAAGTGTTCAACTAATTCAGATAACCACTGCTCTACGGAATTGCTCGTAATGGTAAGATTTGATGTAGTTGATATGCATAGTATCTATACTATACAATAAACTCGGTAGAAATATTTTTATGGTATTTATCTGTTAAAAAAACACGTTTTAATGGATTCAATATGTTTTAATGGATCTTGCAACACAATTGTAGAAAACCTAGTTGTTTTCTCCGCTCAATGGAAAAACATTGAATCGTGGATATGTTATTTCTTATTACTTATCGTTTATCTCTTATCTCTTCATATTTAAAAGTATTTTTGAATATTGTTACGTGAAAATGGTGACATGCAATTTCTTGTATGCCGCCCCGTAACACAACCAGGATCAAATTCCCCATGAAATAAAGGAGAAAAATTAAGAATAATGGAAAATCATTTACAGAAACAGTATTGACTTCTCAATTCCGTACAAGGCGTTTTTTTTGCTAAAAAAGCCCAGTTACGGATATAATGGGTAAAACCTTTTGGTGAGCACGATATTGTGAATAAAACTATATCAAATACTATGTTAATACTTATGGTGCGACTAAGCAACAGTTTTTCCCGTAGTCGTTTATATAAATAGACTTGAAAATAAGTTGCTATATTGGAAATTATTCACTCAAATATAATACCGATATAGTTTAATATTGTCTATATTTCATCTCCTAATAAACAACATTTTTATGTTTTAGGAGTGCAGTTCAATTGGCGGAAGCTGTTCAACTACAATTGATGGATACTATTTGGAAATATTGATTTGTACGATAATTGGAATCATATGGTATATTTGTTTCAATAAGCCCCTTAGAAATTTACAAACTAAGAGTAATGAGTATTGGTTGGTAAACTTGAACACATCAGTTCCAGAAAAAAACGTACAATCACAATCTTTGTCTGAGGTTAATGAAGCCGTTTAATATGCGAACAACAATCGTAATTTATAAAAAAAAAAGATCTTTAAAATTAGTCTACATTAATAGTTATTATGTGTTCATTTTGCAGAAATTATTTTTTTAATTTGTTTTATGTGAGAATGTAAAAATGTTTTGTTAATTAAATTGCCATTTGTCTAGTTAATTGAATTGGGTTTTATAAAATATTAGAGAAGCCGGGCCAGTACAATTTTTTTTTTTATGTCATACAAAGGCTTAAAACTTATGTTTAATGTTTTAAACATTAAAAGACATTTTGTTTTATTAAAGTTATGTATAAAACGTCTTTAACTAAGTATTTTAAAAATGCCACCTCTGGAAGTAGATTTTAGTTCACACTATTTTTGTTGTACTGCACGATGCGAAGTGTAAAGCATCGATTGTATCATAATATTTTCCCGCATACATTTGTGTGAAATATCCGGTTTGTAATATAAAGGAAAATGTCCAAACGGAAATCGTATTACCTACTATATTCATATATTTACGTTAGGTACTTTGTGACTGTAACAAATGGCAGATTTTTCACACTCCTTCACAAATACGCTACTGGATATGTACATAAAATAAACAAATATAAAAACAAGTTATGACAAAGTAGAATCTAGAATAGGAAAAATCCGTGGTTAAGGGTTATTTGTTGATGACACTACGAAATAGAGAAGGACTTTTGATATGTGATGCTGCTCAATAACGGTAATCAATGAAAGTCACGGAAAGAATGCATTGCATTGTGTAAGTATTCCCTTAAGATAATTGATGTTTAGTAGTTTTACATTTTGAAAACATTTTTCGTTCGTGCTATACTACAATATTTTCTAGAACTTTTAAAACTTAAACGGTAACGTTTAAGAAGAACGTTTATTAAGAATAATTTGCTGGACATTTTGACTGGTCGAATACCAGTTTTGAATAATTAGTTGTTAAAAAGTTATTAAATTTTATTTTTTTTGGGACGGCAGGAAGAGTGAATTTCGTTAATTTTTCGTGAGCTGGACTATAATTATAATAAAAGAAAAGTATAGTTTAGTATTTATACTTATTGGTTGAACTATTATCTCGACCGGCGCCGCTCCCCGCACCACCACCGCCTATGCTTGCGCCCTCCGACCGTTTTGCTACTACTATTATCTCTAACTCTACTACTACTGCTACCGTAATGCACCACTGTACCGTACTGCATTTTGCTGACAATTCACCTTTTTTGATTTTTTTTGGTTTTCTTGAACTGCACCGTATGTTTGCTTTAAGTTCAAATATTCGACCGTTTCGATTTATACAATCTTCGACACCTGCCGACCGACCTACCGCACCTGGACTTGTACCACTGTAAATATACCTATTTGATTTGCATGCTTGTATTATATACCACGCTAGTTGTAAAGTGATAAACCTATTAGTTGTAAACTTTAGCGAGCTGGCCAGTGGGTAAGATCTTATTGTATATAGTAATTTTTTTCTTTGTCGAATAGTAGTTTTCATATAATTTAATTTCCGTGTTGTATTTGTTAAAATTCTCCATATTAGTCCCATTCTCCATAGTCCCTCTTGAAAATACCGTACATTATTGGTCATAAAAGTGATTGAGTACCGTCCACAGAAAAAAAAAAATTAATTAAAAAAATATTCAATTGTTCAAATTGCTATAGTTCACGAGTGTTTGTTTTATTTATACGTTTAATTTCAATTATGTTTATCTAAAAGTATAATTTACATACAGTAAGATAACGTTTCGTTGTTCACCAAACGTGGATTTGGACTATGACTTGAGTCTTAGTTGTTTTATTCGTTTTGTTTACCGTCGACAAGTGCCGTTAAATTGGTCATGAACATTTTTTTATTATTATTGCCATACACGTGTTTGTTGTATTACCGTGTTGTTATTGATAAATATTTTGCGGCCATCGTTTATCTTTCTATAGCCGTACAACACACCAAATAATTATTGTCGGCCGCTCAAAAAATACTGCATAAGTGATTAAAATTTAAATATACTCAGCTATTTTCGGTCGTTTACCTTTACGGGTAAATGGACATACATTATACCGTTATTTTAATTTTTTTTTTTACCGTGCTTAATCGTCAGTGTCTTATTCCTTTTTCCTTGTGAGCGACTTATTTATCGGAAGTTCAGTCATGGGTGTCTACGAAGAAACTCAAATTCGATTGGTCGACATACAAAAACGAATCGACCGCGTTCGGAAAGCTGCAGAAGAGTTGCCATCAACAATCAAACAAGTTACCAGCCGATAGTCAAGTTTCGTTATCTAAAAGCGAAATTGGATGTGGAGCCATTAAAGCTAGTTACCAACCTAATGTTAAGTGAATGCAATTACGAACTTGCATTGAAAATTATAGATAATCGCTATTCGAACAGAAGGCTCACTGCTCAAATCCATTTTGATCAGCTGTGGGACATGCCAAAAGCGTCTTTTGGTGATTCAAAGACGATTAGACAAGTTTTAAATAGCATAACCGAATCTGTGGGAACTTTGGAAAACCAAAAGTATTCCAATTTTTCTGGACGTTATGAAGCAAACGGAAGTAAAAAGCAGTTCTCGTGCCACGTGTGTAAAGTCAATCCGGGCCGTCTTCTCATTACTTGTACTGTTTTTAAAGAGAAAACACTATTAAAAGTTTAAAACGATGCTATTTAGGCTTTAGTGAGCATTCAGTTGCTCAGTGTCAGAACACCAAATTATGTTCAGAGTGGACAAACTTTGTCGGAGCTAAACGCTACTTATACAAATTTCAGTCTCTTGTTTCTTCTTCCGATTTAGCTAAAGGTATTGCTCAACATCAGATCACATGGCATATACCGCCCATCAGCTGCACCGCACATGGGCGGTATATGGAAAGCCGCGGTTACATCGGCAAAGCATCTCCTTCGCCGTACCACCAAAGAACAAATGCTGACCTATGAAGAACTAACTACAGTTATCCCATCACGTCGAAGCCAAATGAGTGTCCACCGTTAACCCCAGGACACTTCCTCACATCTGAACGGTTAGTAAACATACCAACGCTCGGTAAAGTAGATACCACAACAAAATTTACCCTTCACCAACGATGAATACACGTTGGCATAAGGAGTACCTGCATGCCGTTCAAGTAAAATCTAAATAGAACAACACTACAGACAATAATCTAGGTCCGGGAGATTTGGTTATTCTCAAAGAACCAACACCGGCACTAACACCGGCAGAACCGTCTGAATCACAGAAGTACATCCCGGGGAAGATGGAACAGTACGCGTCGCTTCAGTCCGAACAGCCGATGGTACTAACTCTTAACTGTGTCATTTACACATAAATTATTGATGGTCAGGTGGCCTCCAGGTGGGCGGTATGTTTGACCTTTATCTCGGCCGTTGCCGCTCCCCACACCGCCGCTGCTTATGCTTGCGCACTCCGACCGTTTTGCTACCACTGTTATACCTACCTCTACTACTATTGCTACCGCGCCACCGTACCGTACTGCATTTTGCTTGCACTTCACCGTTTTTGGTTATTTTTGTTTTTCTTGAACTGCACCGTTTGTTTACTTTAAGTTCACACATTCGACCGTGTTGATTTGTACAGACAATCTTCGACACCTGCCGACCGACCTACCGCACCTGGACATGTACCACTGTAAATATACCTATTTGATTTGCATGCTTGCACTATATACCATGTTGGTTGTTAAGTGATAAATCTATTAGTTGTAAACTTTAGCGAGCTGGCCCACTTGGCCAGTGGGTAAGATCTTGGGGGCATTCTGAGTCAAACCACGCAGTTATTGGCCTGACCTCCAAAAAATGTGTTGACTTTTTTTTTTTTCACTTCTTTATTTGGTCTATTATAAGACCTTTGTTTTTTTTTAATTTTTTTATCACTCATATTTACCCCAAAAATATAGGTAGTTATTTTTCGCAAAAAATCTGTTTCAACCTATTTTAAAATTATGAAATTTCAATCATGAAATCAGAGATTCAACGGCTTTTTAACAGGCCTAAGCTTAAAATTCAATAATAACATTACTGGAAAACATTTAAATACTACTATATTATGTGATGTTTATTATCATAATAGTTAAATAAAAAAAGCAAATAATAAGATAAATAATAGACTTATAAGATTTGTTATTTGCTAAATCACATTATTAAAATAAATATTATAGTGAATTCTAGTGTATATTTTTGAGATTTTTTTTTATAAATAATTAATACTCATTTGCGCTGTAAGCACAACGGATTTTATTGCACTTATCTGTTTCACTTTTTTTAGTAATTCTTTAATTAAGTTTATTACATTTTTTTTTCAAGATAGCCATTTTATTCAAAATAATTTTTAAAAAAGAGTTGGTAAAAAAATTTTTATTTTTATTCATCCTTTCAAAAGTTATATTCATTTGAAAGTAAGGATGACTGATGACGGGAGGTGAAGTGCGGTAGGTAACGCTCGCAGATAAAAATAACTCTACGCCGTTTACTCCAGTTATCTTGAAAAAAAAATTACTAAATATAGTAAAACAGGTAAGTGCAATAAAAACCGTGGTGCTTATTGCGCAAATGAGTATAAACTATTTAAAAAAAAAAAATATCTCAAAACTATTCACTAGAACAAAAGTTATTTAATTTGTCAAATCATTGTGGATCACTTTGTAACAAGCCCATTGGCTTATTCTTATTATTATTATAACTATATTATACAATATTATACTATGTTATATGTAGCATGACACTAGTTCACCTTTTACTTAATGTGTATTTTCCTTATTATGTTATTTAACTTTTACTTTTTACTGCACAGGTACACAAGTTACCCTTGTGTAATTTCCTAGTTTATTGCTTGTTTGTTACTTTAACTAATTTGCATATAACTACAAAACACTGCCAAATCGTCACACAAACCGTTATACAAATTAGTAAAAATAATAATGTTTTAAGAAATGGAACGAAATTTGTTTAGCGTTTGAAAACAATTCTTGACTTATAATTTTTTTTAAAACATTTTATTTCATATTTGCACGTATTAAGTATACGTGAATAGGAATTTGTTAAAAGGGATCTAATTGACCAAATTACTTTTATAGTAAATAATTTATCTTCTTATGTAAACACATCGTTTTGTGTTAAAAAGGCCCTTCTCCATATAATATTGACAATAAGTAGTGTTGGTTGTCGATTGTGGAACTTATATTAATACCTGAAAACAAGTATGGAGAAATCGGCAAAAAATGACCAACCCGGTGCAATTGAAAGTGACAATAACACACAGCCACTCAAACCATGCTTAAAAGGAGATTGGAAGAATATTTCCCTACTGATGTTGTTGTATACACTTCAAGGTGTACCAATGGGGTTTTCAGCGACTATACCAATGATTTTACAAAACCAAAAAAATATTTCCTATCAAGATCAGGTATAATCATGATTCACGTATAAAAAACAATATTTTATTGCTTGTTGTTGTAGACTAATTATATTAAACAGGAGGTTTAGATTAAGTTTTCTTCTTTTCAATAATCTAAAAGCACTTGAAAAGCAATGTACAACTGATAAAAAAGTTAAGTACCTATGACGATTATGCTATCAAGTACCAAAATATAATCCTTATAAATAAACCAATAAATATACAATATCATTTTAGCTCTACATTTTTCATTTCACTGCCCCCTCCTCTAATTTCGAAACTTCAATTTTTGATTTTAAACAAACCTTACCCATGCTGTATACTACAACATAATATATTATTTCATAAATAATATACACCTGAAAACGTATGATGGGATTCGTAGATTTTATCTGACTTTCAATATCTAATATTACTTTTTCATTATTTAAGGCTATATTTAGTGCTGCATTTTGGCCATTCAGTATGAAAATTCTGTGGGCACCGCTAGTCGATTCCTTGTACGTAACGAAAATTGGAAAAAGGAAATCATGGCTTTTGCCTGCTCAGTACTTGCTAGGTATTTGCTGATAATATTATACTTTTATTTTGTAATTTTTTATTTATACTTAGTCCTTTTTAGGTACATTTTTTCTTTACTCAGGTGTCCATTTCGATAGCTGGATAGGAACTGAGGGTAAGCCTCAAGTGGCTATTATAACGTTTATTTTTTTTTGCATTCACTTATTTGCTGCTACACAGAATATAGCTGTTGATGGTTGGGCTCTAACCATGTTGAGGAAGTAATGAGTATAAAATTGCTAGCGTCTTGTTGTTTATCAATCATGATTATAATTGTTTTTTTAAATTATTTTAGAGAAAATTTAGGCTATGGGCCTATGTGTAAAAAAGCAGGTCTGACAATTGGAAAATTTTTAGGATATGAGTTTCCAACTCTTTTGGATTCCGAAAGTTTCTGTAATAATCATTTGCGCAGTGTACCTGCTAAAGGAGGAATGGTATCCATGCAAAGTAATTATAACGAAATAATTCAAGTTTGGTCCATATAACGGGCTTTCAGTTTTTTTGTTTCGGAATATTAAGCTATGAACCAATCTAAAACTTTATTAATGATTAAATTCATTGTGCATTTTTTTGATACTGTAAAATGTGCGTATTGGTTTTTTGTTATCGGACCGAATCATAATGTTGAAATTTCGATATGAATAATTAGAAATCAATCATTATGCTATTACATAGTTATTGTTTATTTTTTTTTTAAGGTTTTTTATACTTTTGGGGAGTCGTGTTTATGTTAATAACTTCACTTGTTGGTTTAATTAAGAAAGAAAACAAAGATAAATCGGCTGATTACACAGAAGAGAAATTAAATGTATTTAAAACTTACTACGTGGTGTGGTATATTGTTAAAATTCGCGGTATTCGCATATTGATATTCGCTTTGATTACTTATAAGGTAAGGTATTTAATAACTTTTATTAAAGTAGCGCTTAAGGCAATTTGAATGTATTTACGATTCAAATATGAATATTATTCTGTTTATTCAGATATTTTTAGATTATATTTTTAGTTATTTTATTTTTCAATAATTCGATTTAACTTTAAAAGCCAGCACACTGAGCATAATCGAGTAGGTGTGGTCGTAGATCTATAGGAATTGTTATGACCAAGTGATAAAAACACTCTGTAAAGGGGTTCTTTATTGTCATTGCTCGGGTATCAATTATATTACTCTGTATGTACTTATACAGGGTAATTTATTTTAGAATTCTCTTTTTTAATTATTTCCCGTTCAAAATTTTAAACGGAATAAACTATTAGTTTATCAACACAACAACCTACATTGTTAATGTACACTTAAAACGAACATTGTAGTTTTTATGCAAAATTTACAATTGTATAGATAAAATACGAATAAATAATATATTGTAAGACGAATTTAATAAAGTATTAATAATAATTACTTTTTACTTATGGTTAAACTGTATTACTTCTAATAAAATAGTGTTTATTATTGTATACTGCGTGCACATTTAGTGTAATTCCATAGGAATTTTTTTGTCAAAAACATTTTTCTTTGTAAATTCTTGTCACATTAATTAGTTTTTTTGAACAGATTGCTTTTGCAACGGATAATCTAACATTATTAAAACTAATTGATGCCGGGGTATCGCAAGATAAATTAGTTATCGTGCAAACAGCTCTATATCCCGTTAGAATGTTACTGCCTATAATTGTGTCCAAATATACAACGGGCCCGAAACCGATGAGCACTCTGCTGAACACACTTCCTTTTAGGTAAGAATGTAAGAAAAAAGATTTATATATATTTTATTAAATATTTCAATTGAAAAATAATTTGAGATAGATATAAAAGTGATAGTTATAAAATTCATAATTCATGTATATTTACAATATACTGTCTTCCCACCCGGTAATTCATAAATGCAGTTAGATGGTAAAACAAATAAGAAAATAGTGAATGTATTAAATATTATAATACATGCTGATATGTTGAGTAAATTAAAAAATTATGAAGAATAGAAAATAGTGGTGAGATAAGAAATCTAGCCAAGTACTGTTCGACCTAATTCGTATAAGATAGAGTGAAGAGGAAGAAGAAAAGTTAGTTATACCGTAATTTATGTTTACATTTTAGGTATTTAGCATATCTAAATGCTATTGTTACTAATAGTAAAATATATTTTTAAATATAATTATTTTAGGTTACTTTGTGTATATTCATCAGGATTATTGGTTTATTATACACCATTATTTGTAGAAAAAGGTAACATTGACGCAAAAATACCATTTGAATATTTTGTTTTATATGGAATAACTATACTTTGTGATGAGGTAAGTATTTCTAAATGCTAAATATATCCTTATTCCCTTTAACTTTGATGCGATAACTGTTGGTCGCAGGACTGATTTCTTTGATCAGCGCCGGCTTCCAAATATTGAACAAATCCCACTCCTATCATCTCTTTTATTTCGTCTTCATCCTAACTATTTGGGGTCGGCCACCCTTCTCCTAAACCTCCATTCCTAACGATCTAACTAATCATCTTTGCATGCACCTACATGCCTCATAGAGATCTCCAATCATTCTGTATCGCTATTTTTATTAAAATAACAAACACCAAAAATCAATAACTTGTCAAAAAACTATTTTCCTAAGTCTTTAAATTTAATATATAGTCAAATGTTTGAATACAAGATTGGTCAACAAATTGTGAACGTATTTATAAGTTTTACAGTTTGTAGTTGGCTATACCAGACAGAAATACCCAAGATAAAACTTGAATGTATTTGTGTAATTAAACTTTTATACCACACCTTATTTGTTGTGCGGATTACAATCCCCCAGACATTTCTTGGGCTAATGATACCCTTTGGTTTAATTTACCTAATCGCTAACTAATGATAACGATAAAAGATAGCAGAAGAATGGTGATGTTAAAATGTATAAATATTACCTAAATCGCATCTTTTAAAGGGTGTAAAAAAAATTAAACAAACCCTCAACAGGCAAGGCCCGGTCACCGGTGACCGGATTGAGTTTTAAAATACTCCCAACTAGTTAATCTTATTAAGAACCGATTTGACTCCACGTATACCCTTTTGTAGACAATCCTACCGCTTGCCTGAATATATTTTGCTTATCTCCTTTATCTTAATGCGTTTCCAGCTTTTGTTAAAATTTGTCGCTCTTCACATTTGGTCACGGGCGACCAGACTTGTCTTTTATGTAAGTTTTTTTTAAACTTATTTTGTAAATCTTTTTTCGGTTTTTCTCATTATTTTTATATATTTTTTCTATAGGATGGATACACTTCTTATAAACACTGATGTCATCACAGCAGAGCTTTACCGGTAGTCAAGCTAAAGAGAAGTTCAACAAATATATTTTTGATTATTTCTTATTTTACCTTAAAAAAAAAAAAAATTATATATCCCTGTAGCAAACATTAATATAGAAATAAGATATTTAGTAATTATGAAATTTAATAAAAATCACTTCGGTCACCCGTGACCAGCCTTTTCTGTTTCATTGTGATTTATAGCCTTGCCTGTGGAGGGTTAAATACCACAAAAAATAATTTGAGCCTCCCCTTAAAATCTGATATTTGGACAGCGTCCTAATATAAAACCGAGCCCTGAGTGCTACAAGCCCGTCCGTGAGAGAGATACGCTTAGTAAATTATTAAATGATAATACTGATGTTTTAGTTGATATCATGCATGTGTGTGGCTTTACCGACGTTTTTCTCGCGAATAAGTGATCCACGTTTTGGAGGAACGTACATGACTCTTTTACATACTGTTTTGACTTTGGGCGGTTCTTGGACTTCTACAGTGTCACTTATTGCGATTGACTGGCTTACAGTGAAAAAGTGTTCGACTAATTCTGATAATCACTGTTCTACGCAAGTGCTCGTAATGGTAAGAGTTGTTGTAATTGTATTACTACATTATATGCATAGTATCTGTACTCGAGTTTCTATCAAATGTAAAAGTCTTATTTAAGCAAACAATAATTTCGGTACAAATATTTTTCTGGTATCGAACAACGCGCCATACCTTTTCCCGTAGTCGTTAATAAAAATAACCTCGAAAATAAGTTGGCATAATGGAAATTATACACTCAAATAAAATACCGATATTGTTTAGCATTGTAAATATTGTAAAATATTGTCTACATTTCATCTCCTAATAAATTTACATGTTTTAGGAGTGCAGCTCAATTGGCGGAAGCTGTTCAACTACATTTGATGGATACTATATGGAAATAATAATTTGTACGATAATAGGAATCATATGGTATATTTGTTTCAATAAACCCCTTAGAAATTTACAAACTAAGAGTAATGAGTATTGGTTGGTAAACTTGACCACATCAGCTCCAAAAAAAAAGCCAACAATTACAATATTTCACTTAGGTTAATAAAGCCTTTTAGTTTACAAACAACAGTTGTAATATATAAAAAACAGACCCTAAAAATTAGTCTACTTTAATAATTATTATGTGTTCATTTTGCAGACATTTTTTAAACATTTTTTTAAATATATGTGAAAATGTGTAAATGTTTAGTTAATTAAAAATGTCATTTGTCTACTTTATTCAGCTGGGTTTTTTTAAGTATTAGAGAAGCCGGATTATTACAATTTATTTGTTTTTAAGGTCATACAAAAGTCTAAAACACCTTTGAAAATACCATGTACCTAGTATATTCATAGTCTTACATAACGTATTTTAAAACTGTAAAAAATGAGACATCTCTCACACTCCCTCATAAATACACTACTATATATATATACATATAATAAACAAATATAAAAACAAGGAAAGAAAAAGTAGAATATAAAACAGAAGAAATCCGTCGTTAAGGGCTATTTGTTGATGACACTACGACATAAAGCAGGGTTTTTGATATGTTTTGCTGTTCAATGGTAATCAATGAGAATCATGACAAGAATGCTTTGCATTGTGTACGTTTTTAGTAGTGATTTTATCCGATAGGACTAGTACAGTAGGGTATAGGCATAATGTAGTCAAAGCAATGAGGAAACGGAGAGGTCACAGGTCTACAGGAATTATTATAAATAAAAGTGATAAAATTGAATAAAATCACTTTCAAATAAACGCTTTGATGCTCATTTGTAAATACAGAACCTTAATTTAAAACTTTCTAACTTTGCTGGTTTATACTGTGCTTGGTTTGGACTGTACTGGCTTGAAAATACTAACTACCGATTTGCATCGAAGCGTTTTTTCGAAAGTGATTTTATCACTTTCAGATTTAAAAATTCCTGTAAACATATGACCTCCCTGTCCCCAATATGCCCCGACCCAACTATGCTCCGTCCCCACTATGCACCGACCCCACTGTACTGGTTTTTTTCAATTCCAATTAAGAAAAAATCTGGTTTACTGTATGTTTAATTAAAATATAAAAAACAGAAGCGACTGATTACGGAAATAAACTTAATATTTGTTATTGAATTAAAAAATTACAAAATATTTGATTGGTAGGTAACTCAAACTATAAAGTTGGATAGATGTACAAATGATGATTACAATCTCATACAAGCATTTTTCTATGGTTGTCGACATTTAAAAAAAAACTTGAGAAACTTTTCAATGCCTAACCGGATTAGTTAATTACAAAATGAGCTCTGTAATACTTATTTTAAAACATTTTTTCTTCAATGGACTTATGTAATTAAATTTGACAATATAATCGTTAAAAATGTATTGCAGAGGAAAATTTCTCACCATAATTCTAACTTAAAATTTAAATAAAAAATTTAAATTTCGCATGTTAATCGAATCACGGTTCACGAGGAAGTACTTATAGTATATTTAGAACATTATAGTGTGGTTCATACAAGTAACAGTTTAAAAACCATTTTCCTCATCTGAGATCTGGAATTTTAATGAAAACATTTTTATTTATATTATGGTACAATATACCAAACAATACTAAAAATCTTTTTTGGAGCTTTATAAACTTTTGAAATTTAAATTGTAACGTACATATTTATTTGATTTTTTTAAAGTAAGAAAAGTTCTTCCGGCCGTTTATAACAAAAATTAAGGGTGACTTATAAAATTAGGATATTTATACTGATATCAATGGCGAATTTTGATCATTTATCAATAAAGTAACGATACTCTTTCCATAAACTAATTATTTTACGAATGCATTAAACGTTACCTATTTAAAACTTGGAAAATTGTTTTCATATATTAGTTTTATTTCTAAGCTAGTGGTATAAAAATTCATAAATAGAAGCACTGCGGAGCATTGTAAAATCTGTATAAACAGTCAGTACATATGGCAAGTTATTTGATATTTTATAGCATTTGCATTGGACAATAATGGCAATATGGTGATTCATTCTGAAATTGCTTATGGCGTGGACTGAATACATACAATAAAGCATGATATTTTAAAAAAAAACAGACTGCATTAGTCACGTTTTTTGAAACAAATTTGAGAAAATTTACAAAAAGGTGATCAAAATTGGGTCGACCATATCGCACAATTATTATTATGTTATGTAGAATTCATTAAAGCAAATAATAATTTCAAAAATTGTATGGCACGGTTAACGGCTGTTATGATATTATTACATAGTTTTTGAACTTTTGGATTGAATACAAATTGAGGGAATGAAAACTTTGCCATACCAAAATAAAAACTACTTGTTATAACAGTTACAAAATTGGTTCATTTTAATGATTGATGGTATACTAGTCTGAATTAACTGATCTTGGCTGATTTTGACTGATTTTTGAGTTGGATTTTGGCTTTATGTTTTATTTGGTTTAAAAAAGGGTTTAACAGTTTTTAAACGTTATTTACTGACTTTTTTTTATAGCTTATACAATTTTGTTCAGTTAAGTTGTCAGACTATAAACCATTTTACGCAAGTTTTATTGTAGGTAAATCTTTGAATAAAATAATAAATTTAGCTGTCAGTTTTTTACATCTGAAAATTGAGTAGCAAAAAAAAATTAAATTTTTTAATAAGCACATTTGTTTTATATTGTTAGTATAAAAAATGAATTGTAGAAAAAAATTACTTTTCAGAATGACAGAAATAATTGTTTATAAAAGAACGTAAACAAAATATAATTTTTTAAAACAATTTTTGGTGAGAAATTCTTAAGAATTATTAATTTTTATTTCTTTTAAACTTGTTTGTTATCAGTGTCTATTATTCCCTGTCCCCACTACTATCCTTCTACACTAATAAAATTTGATTTTTAATAAAAGTAAGTGAGTATTGCGATAGAGGTGTTTTAATGAGAGTGATTTAATCTGTTATTATTATGAATTTTTGTCACACTGTACTTGATAATCGCTGGACTTACAGAAAAAAAAACACTTGTCTATGGTCAGTGCCGGGTTAACTATTATGCCGTCCTTTCTACTCTTCAAACTAAAAAAAAAAAAAACACAAATTAAACAATGTTATCATCACACTGTTATAATCTTTTAGTCTGTCATTGTAGTTGTTCATTTCAATTAATATATTTTGTAGTACACTATATTCAATAGTCATTTAAACCAACGGTGACATCTTTCATTAGATAATGATGTTTTCATATAGTGTTTTACTCTCTTTGAATCTGGAAAAGATACGGTAGGGTTAAAACATGATATTGAAATAAAATTTTTTTTTTTTTTTAATTCTTAACGTCGGTGTAGGGTATATTGCAGTGGGAACACTTTGTAGGTACGTATATTAATTTTTAAAATAATATTTTTGTTATTGTTTCCACATGCGTTATGAAAAAAATAAAAGATGTAGTACAATTTGGGTTATTATAATATTTCGTTTCAATGCAATACACTAAAGTGTTTTTTTGCGACTTTGGTAAAATTTGTTTACATAGATATTTGCTTTTATGGAATCCACTTGAAAAAACAAACTTGAATGTTGAGATTTTGTTTTTGCTTTGACTGCCCCACATTGTAATCGATACTTACTATAAGTGGACTTGCTAAAAGAAAAAAAATATGAAGTCTTCTTTACAATTATCGTTGTTATTTTCAGTGATATTTGCCGGTCTATTGGTTTTTTCCGACGGTTCATGCCGGATCAAGCGCCGTCCGGTCAATGTGGATGCAGGGCAGCAAGTCTGGTTTAACATGCCAGAATACCTGATGGAAATAGTAGAGTCTAAGTTAAATGCTGAAGTAATATATGTCCAAAGAACAGACGAATACCAAGTCCAAAACATGGAAAACAAACGTCAAACCATAAACGTGGTTTTTGAACAAGTTGCCGAGGACGTGACGAATCTGCTGGATGAGTTCACCGTCATGGTGACCCAAATGATTGAGTTAAAAGACAGCGATATATCTTTGAAAAAACTTCTGGACATAATCCAACTGACCGTGTTGAATATAAACTCTTGCCTAGAACATATGTACGACAACGAAGCCAACGTCACTCAAGCCCTAAACAGGTATTTACTTAAGTTTAATTAACTCTGATATAAGTACTCTGTTGTCTTCTCTATCTCTACCAAAACTTGAACCATTCGAAACGCACGTCTTAGCACCAGATGGTATCCCTAAGATTTCCAATGCGGGAAGAGCACTATAGGTAGAGTGTGCCAATATTTATATGAATTACGAATATCTTTTAAACCAAATCTAATAATGTATTAATTAAATGTAGATTATGTTATATAATCATTCCAATACTTGAATAAATACTGACACTATTCTCTATTACCGACATAGATCGGTGAACACTTTATTGTCGGATAATTTTTTAAGCAATACATTATTCAAATTATAATCTCAGTAAAACTAAACGGCAATCCTCGTTGACCCTGCAGGACTTGTTACACTTATGTTGGCTTCTGGGTACTCATCAATCTTTTATATATTATATTTTATCCCCGTCGTGGTGACTTCCATTTACTAATGTCCATTGCGAATGTTTGGTTTGACAGGTACCTGTTTCTCAGTGACATGATCTTCTTATACCAAACCGAGTATGACAAAGACACCGACACCGTTACCGATATTGACACGCCCAGACTAGATTATGAAAAACAAAAAATATTGGACTTGATCAAGATGAAGACAAACATTGAACGGCCTACGTTTAGTGTCAGGATCTTACCTGAAAAATCGAACACCGATATATTAGCCGAAGCGAAAAAGATAATTGACGAATACACACATTTCTACGACCGGAAGTATGACTGCCTCTGGTTGAACGCCGACAAACTCAAGTGGAAGGACCTGATGAGATCCACGATGGTCCAGAACTGGGTGTCTCCGGTCAGTGGCAAAAGACTGCAGCAGAGATACGACGATACGGCCGCCGAGGTGGACTCGACCAAGGTATTAGCTTTTTACGCGGAAGTCGCCGAAACGGTTACCGTTCTGTTAGCCCAAAAGGCTTCTGGCGCTTTTGCGCTGTTCGTCGACTACTTGCTGGCAATGGTTGCCAGTGGTTCGTCAAACAATCTAATCAGACGCCAACATTTGAACGCCGTAATCGCA